TTCACAGCCAAGGCAGCAGCAGCAAGGTGGTGGCACGACACAAAGTGTCACGTACGGCAGCAAAAGTGTCGAAGCGGATATGAGGGCAGTCCTTAGGTGCTGCAATAGCAACCAATGTTGCACAGCAGGATTAAATGAGGCACATTGAAGTGCAAGGTGTCCTCATATCCAAAGGTATAGTGTGACAATACAATCTCACGCTCGAAATGTCCATGTCTTCTCCGCAGCAACAATAGACCTTGGCTTGGAATTCTACTTCATTAACTAATACTGATAATTTGTGCAATCTGACATCTTTCTTTCAAAACTATACATTTACTACATGGGGGAAAAAAAGGTGTAAGAACTGCCCTAGTATCAGTTGTATGCATGGGAAAAGTTCCTCCTAAAAAATGAATTCCAGCTGGGATCATGAAACTAGTAAAGCAATCAAAGATGTTAATGTAGGCTAAGGATGGCAATGTTGAAAATTTTGAAGTGGAATAAAACTGGAAAGTTTGTCATGCACACAATATATTTTAAGGTGTGAGAACTTTTGATCCTACCTTGTAGAGGACATGGGACCAGAGTTTACATGCTCTGCTCATCTCATGGGAGTTAGGGTGCCTGCACACTGGATCAGTCTAGACTAGTCTAGTCTAGTAACAATAAGTTCAGTCCAAATGTTTAGAGCTCAATAGCTCAACATGCACTAATTATGACAAGCCTAGACAGGTGTGTGGGCATCCTTGATGGTGATACCTTCATCACCAGATACTGTTTTTGCCCCCTGTGAATGAATTATGTTGTAGTACCTGCAGGGACTCATCCTACCCATTACTGCAATCTAATCTTCATGAATGGAATGAAGTACAATATTGTCTCAGCTCCTCCCCCACCCCCATAAAACTCCTACTAAGGATCCTCTACTCAGTGCTTTCCACTTTACCTCGTTCCATTTAGTAGTGGCATCAGCACTTCATCTCAAGAGATAAGCCCATTATTCCACAGGCAGCAGCAAAGGAAGAGTGCAATGAACATCTTTCATTGTCTGATTGATGCTGTGAGTGACTCATATTCCCTTCAATGCAGTCATTTTTGCTAAAGTCTCTATAGGCACTTCTCTAAACAAATGGTGCTTCTGGAAGAGATGTGGTACCTGATGATGGGATGAACACCTGCCTGCCTCTTCCATGCGGCACGATCGATAGTGTTCCGAACACTCACTCGAGGTATCAAACCACCTGTGGCAATGAAGGTCTTATAACATGGTTCTAATAATTTTCATGAGATGAAGCATTCTCTAACATTTATTCTATGCTGTCCTTCCTCCAGCTGTCATGGAGAAGCCAGTAGGACCATGCAGCTTCTTGTGTGATTTTCATCATACCCATAAATGACTGAATGAAGGAATGAATACTCACCAAAAGCAGCTCTCATCAATATCGATCACCTTGCCTGGGCTGCCAGTGGAATCACACCCTGTATGGAAGGCGAAACAGGAAATTCACCTATAAGCACCACTCCAAATGGCATTTCTTCTATTGATGATAATTTCATTGCCTGAAAGATAGGATTAGATTTAGTGCCTATTTTCATTTAGTCAGTTTCTCAATAATGAAACAGNTTTTCACCCATGAGAGTTCATGCATTCTTAAAGGAACATTATCTAAATGTTGCAGCATTTTAGGCCTCAAGAGTTCAAAGTGAGAATCTAATTTAAATTCACGAGAAAAAAATGGCATGAAATGGCACTACTACATCACTCATCCATGTCTGCTTCCACTCATCCTTCTTTTTCTTCTTTAGTGCGAAAAGATGATCATCACCATGATGCTTCGAAGTGCCCCTAGTACGAGAGATAGATGAATAAAGGAAACTTGTGACAATAAAAACTGCATTTCTACTGGGATTCCAGTTGACTCTGCTGCCCAGCATGAGTCTATAAAGCAGCAAGGAAATGCCAAAGTAGAAGAGAAGCTTAAAAGACAGTCTTTTAGTTCAGGCCTAGCCTATCATTCGGCCTGAGGAACTTCAGGCTTGCCCCAAATATAACGGTAGACGAATTTATTGCATTGCGATCGATTTCGTGCGAAACGTGCGGGCACGGTCTAAGAACTAATCGAGGCGCCGAGGGAGAATGTAAACTTCGATAGAAGGCGTATTAGAAGAGTTTTCGTGCATGAATCGGTTCGTATGATGGAATCATTCGTTAGATCGGACCCGTACCTCCCGAACACGCCTGGCCACTCACGTGGCGCGCTGCTGGGCTTCAGGGCCGTCCACGTTCTGACGTCACAAGGATGCATGGAGCATGCGCTGCTCCAGCGGAAGCGACCGACGATCCCATTCCATCGCTCCCAAACGAAAGGCTCCTTACCTTCGCGCTCTTTTCATTGTTCTTCTTCAGGGAAAAAAGTAGGTCCCTTTGGCGTCATTCCTTGGCTTCAACGAATCATTCATTTCCAACGAGAGTTCTTTTGAGAGGCACGTGCAATCTGTACTGGGTTCTCCTTCAGATTTCATTTCTGAGCGAAATGTACGAAACCCCGATGTGGACTAACATCTTTGGACGTCCTGTCAAGGACGTCGTCTCTCCTCATCCCTTG